TATTGTATTTGTTTCCGATTGCTAACAAGGGATTTCCTCCTTTTATTTTGTACATTAACAAAAGACAAATGTTGCATTCCACCTGTATAAAACTGATACAATGTACTGATATGTAAAAAGAACATTACCTTTCAACATAAAACGAACATTACCTTTCAACATAAATATATAAAGAAAAATATATATACAGAAATCCTACGCAATCGTTTAACGTAATGAGGCATTTATTTATTTATTATTTATTTATTTATTTATTGTCTCTACAATATCTATCTTTTTCAGAGCAGTCTTTAAACATTTATTTGAATTCTATCATTCGCATTATTCTTAATAATTTACGTCATTCTTATTGTTCGACATTTTCATATTACCGTATCTTTTTTTCACTTATTGTATTGGTTTTCATTATTAGTCGAAGAATTTCCTCTTTTTAGATTTTGTTTATTTACAAAAGACAAGTGTTGTACTGCATCTGCATAATATTTGTTTGCCTATTTTTAAAAATCGTATCGATATGGCTTATTCATGTAAATTTCCAATTAAATGCGTTAAATCATAACTGACAGCGCTGAATAATGTGTTCTGGTGTGACATCAAATTTTGACCCCGTTGAAAATTGACCGCAATAGGTCATTTTGTCAACATTGAGTACTGCAATTTAGGTCATTTTTCGACTTCGAGAAATGAACCTGGGACATATTATTTTTCAATGTTGAGAATGAGCCCTGCCAACATTTTAGCATTCACTTTTGATTAAAAGGGTCGTTCCAAAAACTGACCATGATCGTTAAATTTTGATAAAAAATGTCAGTTATAACGATTGGTAAAATTAAGTTAAACGTTGTTGTAGAGAAACAGGCGGAATAATCATAATCTCTCTTATGAATGATATCACAGGGCCATTTATGGATACACATTGTACACTCTGCCCTTTGGCATGTCGGTGTTATGCTTAGACAACACGGAAGATACAGAAAAGGGAGACCATTTAGACGCCGAGTGTTATTCTCCTAATCAAATTGCGAGCAAGAATGGACACATTAATTTTCTCAAGCAAGCACAGCACGATGAAATAAAAAGAAGAAATTATTTTTTTATTCTTAAAAAACACAGCAAAGTAAACAGACAATTAATGGTTTTGTTACTCTAATTGTTAGAAATAAATAAGCGCACACGTATGCCACGATATTGTATCATTACAAAATAGTTCTGAAAAGATTCGTCATTCTTACAAATGAACAATTTCCAGAAAGTATTTGTAAAGTCGTCTAAATTGTCGAAGCAGCCGTATGCGCAAATAATTTCTCTCAATTTGATATACTATGAAATATGTTGGTCCGTTGACGTACCGTGTTGTTCGTTTTGACCATCAATTTGTATATTTTTAAATTGTGTTATATGATGAAATATGCACGGTGAAATGCAATTTTATAAGTGATAAAATAATGTCTTATAGTTCTGTCAGTCGAAATCACCACCCAAAATGAACATGGTAATGAATTGTAACCTAGCTGTAGTTGATATACATCAATTTATTTAGAAGCATTCCAGGATCTATGCTTTGCTTTAAAAAAGAGAATAGACTTTTTAAAAAAAAAGTCCCAAGACAAAGGGGATGCGGAAATGGTATTCAAACATTAAAAAACATTTTTGGGTTGAAAACATTTGATATATTGCATTTAAATTTTAAAAGCTTCTTTTAAGCGCAAAGTAGCCCAATTGAAACTGGTCATACGTAGAAAAAAGAGTAGAAAGAAATGGGATATTGTATTTTTGTAAAAAACAATTCTTAAAACAAAAAAGTGAGTTGCTGATTCATCCTTTCCCTAAAATATCTGTATTTTTTTGTGATAAAACTGTATTTTTTGAAAACTTGAACATATTTTTGTGTATATTGTAAATGTAGAAAAAAAATGTACGTTTAGCAATAAAATTTTTTCTGTCTAAACCTGCTGATAAAGATAAAATTTTTTAAGAAAAATTAAAAAGATATCTTTGTTTTAATCTCTATAGCTGACCAATTTGATATCAGAATATGTACCGTTGAATTGGTAAATAGTTAAAAACGTTATTCGCAAGTTATTTTGTTTGGCTTTATGGCTCACCAGCACAGTTTAGGTCATATGGCGCTAAAATAGGAAAGATTATTTTAGCAAATCCCGGGTGTTACAAACTTTAAGCAACACCAGAGATCAAAACCAACTCATCTGCTGGAGCTAAGGGATGCAAGTTAATAAACCCATTAAGTCGCCTTTTACGACACCTTTAGGACCGCACCGGGTTAAACGTAGGCTGCAGTTGTGATGCATCAACCCTCAACCCGTAAAGACATTGCCTTAGTCACAAAAGAAAATATTCATAAGTGGTGTGCATAATAGGTACCTAAATGTTTATTACGTAACTAAATGTTTATTATGTAAAAGTCTGAAAAGATATCAGAAATATTAATATTTCATCTATTAAAAAATAGACATATTGTACAAGGTTAATGAGATCCGCTTTCAACGAAGAAATATGACTTGCTTATAGTTGATCAGTTTTCAACGGAGGTCATTTTTTCTCTTGCGGTTGGATCATTAATTACAAGCAAGAATCAATTTTCAAGGTTGAAATTTGAACACTCATCTGTTGCAAAATGACCCAAATGTTAATTTTCAGTTGGGATCAAAATTTAAAGGTTGCAATGGGAAACTTTATTTTGTTTTCACTTACAACAGCACATTATAAACGTTTTACTAAATTCATCTCCAGTTATGATCACTATGTAATAATACAGTTTAAAAATACTCTTTTCATCTATTCCAACAATTAAAGTTACACGCCTCCTGGTGAGCAAAAATGTTATTGAGAAAAAAAAAGGTACAGTACTAAGATTTTAAGAAAAGTATAACGATTCAAGAGTAATAATATATGTGTTATGCGTGATTTTACAGTAATTACTACCATATCTGTACTGCATGACAAACGTAGTAAGGGCTAATGTTGCATATGTTTACCTCGTGGATTATACGTTAGTGCCGTTTGCAAAGTATATATTACTTTATTTGTTCACATGACAATATTTTACTTTTAAATACCTTCTTTAAAATTTTCATAAAATTAAGCCGGAATAAGAAGATATGCTGCTCTAAAGCGTGTCAATATTATACCGGCAAATATTTCTATAAATAACGGAATGTTCTTTTTACTTGACATACGAACGTAAACACCCACTGAGACATACCTCACAGGAGCGAGTACATAGCACAGGAAACAATCGAACTTTATTACATAGATAATTATATGGTTTTCTTACATGACATATGTTTATTTATCATAAACATTAATGATATTGCGGTGTAGAGATTTTGTCATATTTAAGTAAAAACTATTAAACTTCTCAAGGGTACGTATTTATGCATCGAATCAGTTACCAATTATCAGGGGCAGGTTTGTGACAATAATGAAACAATCAAGGTATTGTCATGAGTCGATGGTACACATTGAGTCGTAAAAAAACAAAATTTAGGTGTAAATATTAAGCCGGTAAAAAAAATTCAGGGGTAAACTTGCAGTCAGTAATTAAAACTTAAAGATATGTTTTAAACTAGTAAAAATCATTTGTATGCAAATGGCCAGTTATAAAATAAATGTATGTTTTGTAAATAAACAAAAAATAAGGATATGCAATGAGTCATTAAAGCATGTAAGTCAGGACGCCAATAAACGAGCATTCTGTAGCAATTATTGAGCCCGTTGTCAAAAGTAAACAAAATCCCTCAAAATCCACACACAATGTGTGGACATTTTGATCATATTTTAAGCAAGTAAAGGCAAAAAAACTGGTTAGGTTAATACAAATCAGAATTATGTATTTAACCAGCAATCAAAAACCAAAAGAATTATTTGAGCAAGTAAACAATGATGGATAATTTAAAAGAAGCTACGACAAAAAGTTATTTCTATACTATCTCAACCAGTTTGTTTGACTGTTAAATTTCTCAAAAACATGTATTTACTTCAGTAACAAGTTTCCGTCTCAGGCTAATATGACTAATATCAGATATTACTAGACCATTATGAAAACACATAAATATAAACGCTATATTAATGCTCCTTTATTAGCTTACTATTCTTGCTTTCACTTTTTGCATGATATTCTATTTCCAACTAGAAGAATTTTTTTGCAACAGTTATTGCATTATGCAAGTATTTTTGTTTCGTTTTAGTCAAATTTGTTTCTATTATAAAACATGCCCTTTGCATTAATTGATTCACTCTCCTTGTGCTAAATAATTTAAAGTATGTAAAGAAAAATTTTTTAAATGAAAAAAAAAGAAACACTGTCGTCATTAAAATACCATTAGCTCTTATAAATTGGAACATACCTTAAACATTTTATCAAGCATTGGTACTTCATTGATCAACTAATTACATTATACATGATAAAGATATTTCCTGTATAAGGGTCAATGTATAATACTTTTCTGGACCTTTATAAAAAAAGTAACAATAATAAAATTGGAACCGTACTGGTAAAGAGAAATACAGCATAATTAAAAATAGTACAACTATTTACCTATAGGGACCGTAAGTAACTATAGTGTGTGCGCAAGCCAGCTCTTTACTTTCGGAAACTCAGGTAATTATAAATAGCCCTATTGTTCTAATACAAATTATCACAACAAATACAATACAATTTAAAACTAATATATACTAAGTTGGAAATTAGTGCAAAAAATAATTATCAAAAATAATGTTTGTATTACAGGAATATTTAAACATATAATCAAGTGTCCTTTTTGTTCCTATATGGAAAATTAAAACAAATATTTATAATACAAATAAAGTATTTAAACTTAAAGTCGTCTAAGGTTTTTCTGCACAGTGTGTTTAAAATAAATATTTGCAGTGTACTTGCAAAATGCAACATTTGTTAAGAGCAACTTTGAAAGGTAAAATCATTACTAATCGTTGCTTGTAGGATAATAAAGCAACCACCATGATGATAAACCATTTACCTTTAAAATGTTTAAACCACCATCTGTTACAACAATTATTCCAAAAAATGATTTTATGTATTTTCACCGCACAATGAATCAGTAATCAAATACAAACTTTTTTTCCCAACAACAAAACACTCACGAATAAATCCTAACGTACTTAACATAACATCATGTCATATAAAGGAATAATACATATCCAACTAATGAATGTTACTTGAACACCTTTTCACTTCCTAACTGAAAATCACTATGAAAATAACGAGGTTTATAGAATCACCGTCAGTATATTGGTAAATCTATACGATATTACGGTAAGCCACCGCTGCCGTTTATCTGTTGCCTGCGACATTGAGCATTAATTAGTTTTAACATTACCAGAATTAGAGGACAAAGAAATGGATCAATATGAAAACCCCTAGAGATACACTTTCAATAATATTAAATGATCAATATTACACGGGAAATAAGGATACCTGAAAAAATATTATGGCCATTTTTTCCTCTTTTTAAGTTTTTCATCATGTTATCTGTGACGAACATAATAAGGGCACGTGATTGGTCAATCAGGGCGGAAGGTTTTATGATTCAAAGTAGCTTTTTTATGCAGTATCAGTTGCGAGTCTTTTGATATTGTATAACAACTGTTAAACATGACCTAACATATTAACAATAACTCAATAGATGAAATCCTATACTTGTATTTTATTATGTGTTTTCATCATGTTATGACTTGCTCTAATTTGTCACAGCTGCCATTGTCACTGTAAATTATGAAATATAGCGTATGTCAGGGGAATCACGTGTTGTGATACAAAACTGTTCGATAATTGTAATAATGGGTCGCTAATTGTTCATTATTTCTAGGTACATTCTTACGGCGTACTTTCAAAAAATAGATAAATACAGAATCCCTAAAGAAAGCCCAACACGGCAAAATTGAAAATGTTGCATGTTCGGTTTGATTGAGCCTGTTCATGGACGGCACTGGAAAGTGCAAGTTACCGTCCACGCCCTCCCCCCCAGCACCGGCTCAAGCAGAATTCAACATTTAAACATGAAATAGTAAAATTTTGAATTTAGAAACATCCGCAGATGTGTTCATACGGCGGTTATCATGGAACCTTCAATGTGACACTTCCGTGCCATTCCATGAAAAGCGTCCCCAAGTAATTAAAAGCGTGTGCCCTAAAAGAGGAAACAATGGGCGGAACCAAATAAAATGGAATTTTAAAAGGGGATCAGAGGTTATGAAGCCTTCAATACACTCAAATATCAATTATTATTTAGTAAACCCTTACAATAAATAATTTTATTACACAGAAAAGTCTATGAGAGAGTAAATCTAAAAAGCCCCCACCAATTTCGTGTTTCACAAGATCTCATTCAATGGTATACATATGTAAGTCAAACCATTACATTATCAGGACAGAGCTAATGATCTCTTTATATTGCAGGGATGCAAAACAGATAAAAAAAATAATTGAAAAATTTTTTTTTGGTTCAAAGGGGGAATTTCCCCTTCTCGAAAAAGGATTTATACTCGCGCAAATTATGTAATTAATGTCATGTAATTTTTGTATAAAGCAATACTCTGCTTACTATTTCAACTTTTTTTGGTGTGAAAAAACTTTCAAATATGATTGGAATAGTCTTTTATATAGTTTCTCTTTATCGCTTATTTCCAAATGTTTAATTTCTTTTATAAATTTTAAGGAAATTGTTAAAGAAATTCTTTTATGCAGTTTCCTTTTTTGTTATGTTTAAGAAGGGGTGATCCCTCGTATGCATTAATTACAATAAAATTACATGAAAATTGTAGAAAACTCTGTTTGATTGAGCCTGTACACGAGGGAAAATGAAATGTGAAACATTCCTAATGCCCCTAGCACCGGCTTGAGCGATACTTAATTTTCACCACTCAATCATCCGAACGACCAGAAAAATATTACAACACTGAAGGGAATTTTGAAAATTTTTACAGCTCCCCTCACCCCCCTTGAATGCTGTCGTGAGAATAAAAAATTTTTCGGAAACCTTTTTTAAATTTGAAAAACAACGTTATTTTGAAGAAATTCTCCCAAGCATAAAAGCTAAAAATTATTCAAATTAATTTTAAAAAAATAGACGTCTTTTTGAAAGTTTTAATCAATTTTATTTACATTATTGCTCAATTGTCGAATCCCTTTGTACCGGGTTCCCCATCCCAAACATAATCCTACGAATTCATGAAAATATTCAAAATTTTTTTAATTACGATTTATATCAAATGTAAAAAAACATACCTTTCATTGAATTTAAACGGGAAAAAGTTGACGTTTATAGGGGAAAATACAAAATAATTTTTTTTTAAAAACAAATAATGTTGGAAAAGAAACAAGGGAAAAAAAATAGATGGAAAAGTATTGTTTAATGACAGTTCGTGACAAAAGAAAAATGTGGATTTAAAATTTGTAGTCTAGTTAAAAAATATGTTAAACCGCCCCCGTGGATCCTCAAATTAATTTTCCATTCGGGGAAAAAGGACGAAAGTTTAGTGTCAAAAAAGCAAGAAAGGCGAAAAGATCAACAAAATTCGCGGAGGGGCAAAGAAAATTTTTGAAAAAAAAGTTTTTTAAATTTTAAATTCAATAATTTAAAAGGGGCTTGGGCCCCCAAAGGACGCATAATATATACAAATAATTTTAAGAAAAATCAAAATTTAAAAAATAATACAATTAAACATTATTAAAACAATCTGTTTCTCTTTTTTTTGACTTAAAAATAGTAAGTTAAAGTTTTGGGAAAAAAAATTAAAAATTATATTTTATACAATACAATTTTTTACACTAAAAAAAAATTAGTTTTTTTACCCCAGCCCCGAATTGATAGTTTTATAAATAAATTGTTTTTGTTCCCCTTTTTTCTAACATCTTAAAAATGTGAATTTTAGAGGTTGAAAAATGTTGTCTCTCTTGCACCAGTCGGTGCAGTTTTTGACCCCGGCCCCACACAAAAAACATAGTCTTTCGCCCAGCATGGATGCCCAACCTGCGCATCCGGCAGGGTTTTGGATCCCTGCTGTTCCCATCAGTTTCTCTACTTGAATGGGTTTTAAAGGAAAAGCAGGATCCTGATCAGACTGGGGGTGCGATGGGAACTGTGCAAACCCCTTATGTGGTTTTGTGTGAAAAGTATTTAAACTTTGATACAATTTAAATATTGGAATAAATGTGCAAAAACCGAAAAAATATAACAAAAAGTTATTTACAAAGTAACCCCCTTTTGAACAGCCTTTTCGTTTTTTCAAGAGAAATTTATAATTATTGTAATGTCAATTTGGGGGAGGGCACATCGCAAATACAACCCTTTGCTATTTATTATTTCAACAACATGTTGTTTATGTGTATATTAATATACATATACATGTACATTTTTATATTCGAAATAAAATATGATTAAATAGAAAATGGTGGAAAAAAATGTTTGCAATGTAATATATAAGACTTAGAGGATACAATTCACCTACCTTTTATTTGAATGTTTATATTATGGAGATATAAGGAATAAACATTGAAAAATATTTTTACCAATTAAAATGGTGGAGCTGTTATCACACTTGTTTTTGTTTTGTTTTACGGCGCACCCATACAATTTAAGTCATATGTCGCCGCAGGAATGATGATTTTGGCTAACCTCGGATGCTACAACCTTAAAGCAACACCAGGGGTCAAAACCACCTCACCTGCAGGAGCGAAGAGATGCACGGTCTCAACCCTTAAAGGCAATCCCTCAGTCACAAGGGAGTAATACACATGTATATAATATGATTGTATGTATGTGTTTGAACCCTTAGCTTTTTATATCATTGTAAATAATGTGTTCTCTGCCAAGAAACATGATATAACATGAGTGTCTGTACATGTTTATTTTCTATATTTTTCACAACAGCGGGTGTCAAGTGCTGTGTGGCAGCTGTAAAAGGTTGCCCCGTATTTTATTTCAGTTTTGTTATATTTTTCTGGCCCTTCGGAATAAACTTATTCCAATATTTTATTTGTGTTAAGGATTCAAAAATTACTTAAGCCGGTGCTAGAGAGCGTGAAAGACATTGCACATTCTATAATCTCTCATGAATAGACTCATTAAAAGAGAGTCTGCAAGTTTTCACCTTTAAACCTTGTTCTCATTGCCCTCGAGGGAATTTTCTTAAGATTGTTATTGTATGATGGTTTACTTTTTTACACTTTTTTAGTAGAAATCACTATTGGATGAAATCGTATCAATTTAGCCTCGTTTTCATTTTAAGAGTTCAAAAAGTCCATATCAAATCCATATCACACCACACATATCCCTTGTGATATAGTTAATTGATGTCACATAATAGTTTTTATTATATAACAAACACAAGTGTAAGAATGAACATTTCTGACATCTAACTGATGACAGACGTTTTAATCAGGTTTAAATAAATACACTGTTCCACAAAATATAAAAGATGTGACATAAAGTTGGACAAAGCAAAGTCCACAGCAATCCAACCAAAGCACCATGGAAGAGCAGTTACAAACAGAATGCAAAAACAAATAAGTAATGGTTCCTAATAAAACAGTGTACACTTCAAGCGAATTTTAAGTATTACTTTATAAAATCAAATCCATAATGTATTAGATACATAATACGAGTAGACACACCATAATACCTACTTGTAAAACAGGGCTACGTTCATTCAAATGCCTTTTTGGTAGCTACATAGTAACCCAAGCAATTATGAAATACAAGATAAGATTCAACACAATGTCTCAATAGAAATCAGTAAAAAATGTATATATGTATGTATGTGTAAAACAAACTAAAATGTACAAAAATATATGATGTGATATATACAATGAAGTTAACAGGCATCACTTGTGATATGAAAAATAAAATTTATTTGGCTCCGTATTTAAAACCAAAAATACTGGGTGTTATAATCGAATACAAAAGAGCAACACTGTTCTATTAAGCAAGTTATAGTCTCATTTTCATTTTCAGAGTTCCAAATGTTACTATCAAATCCAAATCACAACCCATACAGCCTCGTTTTCATTTCTAGAGTCCAAAATATTCGTATCGAATCCTCGTTTTAATTTCCTGAGAGGCAAAAATCCATATCCAAACCTTAGAGGATTTCTCTCGATCAAATGGTGTCGCCGTGAAAATGCGGATAGTAATGCTCTAGTTACATGGAAACGTAACATCTTTAAAATTATTGACTTACGTATTAATTTTTATAGTGGAAATGAACATCTTTTGCCACCTAAACCAAGACTTACTTTAAGAC